AAAGAACCACACTAGGTGTGAAAACAGTGTATACAAACTTTGTAAGTAAACCAGTATAAAATAAAATTTTTTTAAAAAAGAAAGATTCCCATTATAATTCCTGAGAATCAGTGAGAGAAAACCCTCAGGGCAGGTTGCATCTGTCCTGTGTGTGGAGGGAGTATGGAGAAAGTATCTCTCCTTTCTGGACTAGCCTGCTTTGGCAAGTGAGGACCAAGAAGGAGAAAGAAGCTCCAATTTGTCACATCTAGAAGCCTGGAAACAAAGAAAAGAGAAAGGGCCCAGCAGGCATCAATCTGGACGTGCTTGAGGAATATAGAGTGAATACTCAGGAGCTCAAAGAGCAACGTGCTGAGCAGCAGAGAGGGAGAAAATTGTAGAGAAAAGGCAAGAGGACTTTAAAAAAATGTCAGCTCGTCCTATGACTCAAGTCTCCCAAAACACGCAATTACCTGGTAACTACTTTCCATTCCTGGACTGTGTCTCTGAAAGTGACATTGAGAATAAATCATGCTAGGCCCTGAAATGTCCTTACATTTCATTTCTATTTGCCTATTTTTCTTTAGTGCAACAAAATATATGGTAAGTGCACAATGGATGTTAAAATGAGGGGAGGGGGAATCTCATGCATATGTTTCAGGTATTTCAGAGCAGTTGTTCTTTGAGATTGCTTTTTACAACCACGGAAGAAATATAATTGAATATGGAAAAGTATTAAATAAAAGACTGAGAGGGATTAACTTTTTCTTTGCCCGCAAAGTCATTGATATGGCTCGTGGTTTTTCTTTTCTAGGGTGGTATTTGGCCAAAAGGGGGATAGAACAATTTAACATGCTCAGTTGCCAACAAACAATACATGTCTATCCAAAGTGTCCATTAGAGATTCCCTGAGAGGAAGAGTCAGTGATCTACGTCTGAAAAATTAACCACTGGAAACACTACTTTGATCAGCTTGAGATCGCAATGCTTCGGAGTCGACTTGCCATTGATTTGTGGTTTTTTGGTAAAGAAGACTGTCTTCAATGTCTAAAGGCTTTGTGGGTGATGAGAGAGACCAGGGTTTATATCATATCCTGTCCTGTCTTGAATGTTGTAGGGATAAGAAGGTTTTGGAGTATTGAAATGTGAAAACGTGTTAACTCACTTTAGCAAATTTTCATCAATTATCTGGCACAGTGCTCAATGCAAATGGTAGAGCTCAAAGATGAGAGAGGCACCCCCTTACTTGACTCGCATACCCATCAACATACGGGTAGCTGCAGAAGAGCAAAGACTACAGGTTCAATATGGATCACATCTCAACATCAAGAAGGAGCTCTGGTGGCCTAGCAGTAAAGAGCTGCACTGCCAACACAAAAGCACATGATTTTAATCCACCAGTTGCTCTGTGACAGAAAGATAGGCAATCTCCTCTCCTGTGATTACTGCCCCTCAACATTCACTGGATGGTCAGCTATGCATTGGCTTCAACTCAATGATACTAAACAACAAACAACAGCAAGAAAACAAAAGTCCTTACCACTGGGCCAATAAGTAACACTGTGATATTGTTGTTGTTGTTAAGTGTCATCAAGTCAACTATGACTCATAGCGACACTATGAACAACAGATCTGAATCTTGCCCTATCCTCCACCATGTTCATGTTCTCTGTCCTGCTCAAGTCCATTGTGGCAGTCACTGTGTCAGCATGTTGATAGATGGAGAAGAGTCTGAAGTTGTCAACGATTTCATTTTACGTAGATCCACAATCAACATCCATAACAACAACCGTCAAAAAAAAAACAAAACTTGTGTTGCTTTGGAAAAATCCACTGTCAAGGACCTCTTCAAAGGTGCTAAAGAGCAACGATGTTAGTTTAGAGACTAAAGTGTTCCTGATCCAAGCCATAGTCTTTCCAACTACTTCCTAGTCATTTGATAGTTGGACGATGAATAAGTATAACAGAAGAACTGATGTCCTTGAATTGTGGTGTTGGTGAAGAGTACTGAATTCCATGGATTGTAAAAAGGACAAACAAGTCTCTCTTAGAAGAAATGACATCAGAGTGTTCTTTGGAGGCAAGGATGGTGAAATAGCATCTTACATACTTTGGCATGTTGTCAGGGGGGCCAGTACTTAGAGAAAGACATTGTGCTGGAAAAGGTGGAGAGTCAGAGAAAGAGAGGAAGACTTCCAACAAGATGTGCCAATACAAGTGATTTTAACAGTGGGCTTGGGCATATCAGAAACTATGAATATGGAAAATCATAGAGCAAAGTTCAAATCTGTTATTCATAGAGTCACTATACGTCATAGTCAAGTCATGGTCATGGCACCTAACAACGACAACCACATACCTATTACCTGGTACCTTCCCGGTGTCCTACTGTGAACTGCAAATTTAATGACAAGAATTCCACATTTATTTTGCTCATGACTTCTCCTTAGCACACAGCACAGTGCCTGGCACAGGAAACCAACCACTGCCTTCAAGTTGATGCTGACTCACAACAACCCATGGGACAGAATATAACTGCCCCCTGGGGTTTCCAAAGCTTTGAATCTTTATGGAAACAGACTGCCTCATCTTCCTCCCACAGAGAGGATGATGGTTTCAAACTGCCAACCCTGAGGTTAGCAGTCAAGTATTTTAACTGCTAGACTGACAGGGGTCCATTGGCACAAAAGGGACATTCAAGAAATACATGCTGAAGAATTAAATAAAGTTGACACCCTGGAAATTCATCAGCCTTTTGAATTTCATCATTTAGAGTATCAGAGAATTTCATCAGCTGAAATCCATCAGCTGAAATTCTCTGATACCCTAAATGTATTCCCATTGGAATTTTCTATTCCAGCTTAATGTTTGGGTAACACAGCTTAAAGACCCAAGCAAAGAAGAATTGAAAGTTGCCTGAGAAAAGAATCAATGTCATAAAGATTTGAATGGGCCTAATGAGCTGAGAAATATTGGCATTCTTAATTTTTCATTCTATAATCATTCACTTCGCCAGCACTTACTGTATCAGCTACTATGATGTGCTTCAGTGTTAACAAGTCAGTTCTCACTCACGACAACCATATGTATAATAAATACAGAATGAAGCCTGGCTCCGTCCTATACCATATTTGCCTTAGATATATTTGATCCCATTCTTGAGGTTTCCAGGTCAATCCAACTCATCAAGGATTTTTCTCGTTTTTCTTGACTCTCTAATTTACCAAATATGATGTCTTTTTCTATAAATTCGTGTCTCCTGATGATGTACCCAAAGTGAACTAGATGAAGTCTCTTTTTCTTTGTCTCTTCATTTCTAAGGAACATTCTGGCTCCATTTCTTCTAAGAGTGATGTGCTGGTGGGGGTTGATGGTCCATAGTACATCCAGTATTCTGCCAACATCACAATGCAAATGCATCAATTTTTTTTTGTCTTCTTTTTGTCATTGTCCAAGTGTTTGGGTTTTTAAAATTCATTTTAATGAAAGTTTACAGAGACTTAGGGTTTCCAGTCATTCATTGATGCTGTCCAAGTGTTTTTTTTTTTAAGTGTATAGGAGGTTCCTGGAGATACAAACTTGTAGTACAGCCATAAAAAGCCCTGGTGGTACAGTGTATAATTTGTTGAGCAGCTAACCAAAAGAACAGCAGTTCAAAGCCACCAGCTACTCCAAAGGAGCAAGGTATATTGTTTCCTATCCTAAAGATTTACAGCCTTGGAAACTCAGTGGAGGATCCCTGTGAATTGGGATAGACTCCATGGCAATAGGTTTGATTTTTGTTTGCTTGTTTATATGTCTGGTTTAATTTTTATTTTGAAATATTACCAGAATAACACAAAAACAAAACAATCCAAACCCATTGCTGCCGGACAATGGCTTCTCAGACTAGGTCTAGGTTTCTCCTGATCACAATCAAGTATCCTGGGATTTCCATTCTTCTCAATGTTAACCACTAGAACTGTGAAATCGTAAATTTCTGTTCTTTAAAGCCCCCCTGTTGTGATACATGTGTTATAGCAGCACTAGCAATCTAAGACACTCTCCATCCTATCTCCCGGCCTGACTCTCTTCTTAATGCTTTTCTCCATCTGAAATGCTTTTACTCACTCTTTGCTTGTGCGCTCACTGATATTTCCCAAGGCCCTCCTCCCCTCCCCTGCGTCATGGAGAAAGGACAGGGCCCCTGAGCCTAGCGAAATGCCTGGAAAATTATCCTCAGCTGAGACGTCTCAAATGAGTACACACACAAAAAAGAATAACTGAGTGAAAATTTTTACCAACTTTCTTACAACTAAGAGCGAGGAACCTCTATACCAGAGGTGACCCGCTCCGTGGTTAACAAAGGCGGCGACTGAAGGAATAGCACCGTGGTCGGTAGCAACCACCAGCCAGCGGTTATATCCACACATGCTCCTGGGCATGGTTCCAGAGCTAAAAGGCACTAATTGCTTTTATATAAGGAGGGAGAAACACTGCCCCTTCGGTGTCCTTCCGTCCTGCCAGTCTGCATTATCGTATCTGTTACTGTGTTAATTGTTCCTGTCTCACACAGCCAGTTGGGGCTTTATTCTGCATCTGGCCGTGATGGTGACTGCTTTCTACACAGGAGAGAGAGGTACTGTGTGCATATGCGCATGTCTGAGTGTGTATTTATATATGTCCATGTGTGCACATGTACATGTGTACCCCTATGAGAATGTGCCTGTGTGTACACATGTGTTCATATAGCCATGTGTGTCCATGCATGCATATGTGTGTGTGTACATATGTGTCTCTAGTGTCTGCACTGGTGTGTATCCATGTGTCTGTGTCCATATCTCTGTGTGTGTGTGCACATGTGCACCTGTATAAAAGCAACTACACACTGGAAAGGGTTAAGTTGCAGCCAGTCTGTCTGTGCTCAGGGCCCAAAGACTGGCCCAGGAATGGGAGGGACCAGCCTGGAAGGTGGCTGTGGGCTTGGCTTGTCATTAGCTGCCTTTCCCAGGACAGAAGTGCAAATACTTGGCCAGCTGGACAGAGTGTGGGGCAGTGGAGGTTCCCGTAGCGATGGCAGTGGAAGCCCACACCTGGAAATCACTCCCTCCCCGCCCCTCCACAGCAGACTTCCCTGGGGAGCGTCTCAGGCCATTGGAGGAATGACCGAGAGTGCGCCCTTCTGTAGCTCGCCAGCACTTGGTGGGCGGCAGCAGGCAAGGATGGATGTGGTTGACAGCCTTCTTGTGAACGGAAGCAACATCACCCCTCCCTGCGAACTCGGGCTGGAAAACGAGACTCTTTTCTGCGTAGATCAGCCCCTTCCTTCCAGAGGTAGGTGGCAGCGGCTGATGGTTTAATTCAGCAAAGAATAAAGCTTAGGGAGGGCTCAGCCACAATGAAGCTGGTAAAGAAAATTGAACTAAGTCATTGTACGACAAGGCTGGTAAAGTTGTTGCCTGTGAAGTTTGGCTAAGAGATTGGGGAGCTGAAGAAGCTCAGGTACTCACATTGTTCTTTCTCCTCCGGCAGAAGTGGGAGTGAGTGTGTAGGACTTGAGGGGGAACAAAGACAGTTGGGGAGTTGAAGGGTAACAATGAGGACATATAAGTGTCAAAGCTGGAAGTTACAGGCTTGACCGAGAGGGTGCTGTCACAGTCCAGCAGGAGCCTTTTCTTGGGGGAAACCCAGCGTGAAGAAGTGATTAAGGAGAAATAAAGTGGGGCAACTAGGGACAAGAGCTGTCACTATTCACTTGAGAAGCTTTGTTCCTAAGAAAAAGTGCTCCCCCCAAGCGATCCTCTAATAAACCAATCTTTGAGAAGTAACAGAATCACTCTGTGCTTATCAGGGGTTTGTGTTTTGGGGTTTTTTTTTTCCCTGCAAAATGACAGGCAGACTTGGGCTCAGTGATGTGCACACTCCTGAGAGGGGAGGCCAGTAGGATGCAGCCAAATGCTGATGCCCTGAAACCCTTCATCCCTCCGTCTCGTCCCCCTTCCTCTTGGCAGAGTGGCAGCCAGTGGTGCAGATCCTCCTGTATTCCTTGATATTCCTGCTTAGCGTGCTGGGCAACACCCTGGTCATCACAGTGCTGATCCGGAACAAGCGGATGAGGACTGTCACCAACATCTTCCTGCTTTCCCTGGCAGTCAGTGACCTCATGCTCTGTCTCTTCTGCATGCCGTTCAACCTTATCCCCAACCTCCTCAAGGATTTCATCTTCGGCAGTGCTGTCTGCAAGACCACCACCTACTTCATGGGTAAGTGTCAGCTGGTGAGTGTTTCCAGAGCTTCTCTGGGGTCCCACTCAGCTGCCAACTATCCTAAGTCCCTGTCAGCCACGGTAGAGTTGTTGTTGTTGTTATTGTTGCTGGGTGCCATTGAGTGGAGTACAGCTCATAGCGACCCTGTAAAGATGAGATCTGAACCCAGCTCTATGCCGTCTTCACCAGCTCTGCTCATTGTTACGGTCACTGTGTTAATCCACCTCATTGTACGAGACTTAGGTCCTGGCTTTCCAGAAGAACAATCCTCACACCTCTCCAGGTGCCTTCCAGAAGTCAGTCTTTGCATGTCACATCCTGAATGAGTCTTGGAATCACCATGCTGAGCAAAATAAGTCAGGTGCAAAAGGACCATGCTAGCTGAGCTTTCTTACAGGAAATAAGTTCATTTCTAGAAACCAGAGATTCTTAGTGGCTGCCAGGGTTGGTAGGGAGGGGGGGAAAGAGGGAATTTTTTTTTTCTTAGAGTTCACTGAGTTTATAGCAATGGTGATGGAATGACACAGAAAAGAATAGCAAGGGTGGTTGTTTAATCCAAGGAATGCAGTAAATGTCACTGAATGGAGAAACTGTTGAGTTGGTGAAGCTTCGATTGTGAACAGTTTCGCCAATTAGAACAGTAAATCCGTTTCAAGGATGAGATAAGTTGGTATAAAAACACAGAAGAAGAATTTCATTTTGCTTGTCTCCTGTCTGAAGAGGAACTAAAAGCGACATCAAACAGCGTGAATTCTGGGATCCCTTCATTGGCTGTGTGTCCTCATCTTTTCCCAAGTCATGGCTTCTGGGCAGTGGGATGGTAGATCTTCTGTTACTAATGTTTTCCTACGGACAAGGGTTATTTGAAAACGAGTTTAATCACAGCTTTGGGTTTTCTTCTCAGAAATGACTTTCCAAAGTGTTTTTTCGAGGGGTTTACCTGTCTCAGGCAGAGGGAGAGGAGGAGTTCAATTTGCTTCCAGTGCTATGGAGTCACTAAACAGATCCTGAGTGCCTGAGATATACGCCTCTCTGCCTGTACTCATCCACAGGTGACAATTATAAAAGTCACAAAAGTGAATATAATTTCATACAATTGATGCACCATACTCAAGTTTTTATCCTCTTAATCTCATTTTATTCTCTACCACTTTTCATGAATTGGTCAATGTCCCTCAAAAGCATATGTATGTCAACTGGGCTGAGTCTTGATCCTCGGTGGTTTGGCAAAAATATAATGATGAAATCATCCTCCATAATGAGCTCTGATATTATCAGCCAATCAGCAGCTTTAAGGGGGATTAAGGTGGGATGTGGAGAGTTTCATCTCTTATCTCACAGGAGGCTGAGGAAGAGAAAAGTGAGATGAAATAGTAAGACTTCATTTATCTGAAGAAAGAAAAGCTGGAAGTTTTTGAAGCCCAGACTCAGATTTAGGCCCAGATTCTGGACTCAAAGAAAGATTACCGTCAAGACAAGTGATGTCAGGCCCACAGATGTGAGGTCAGGATAGGACAGGGTTTTATAGCACAAAACAACATTAACAACAATGAACAGTGAATTATGTGTTTCTGTTTGTCAACACCATCCATTCGCAGTATTTCTGTTATAACAGCACTAGATACCTAGGGCAGAATTTGGTACCAAAGAAGAGTAAGACGTTGTCTGCCTGTGAAACCGTGACAGAGACCAGAGATCTAAACAGTCGAAGCTGTTGTGGAATTTGGTGATGATCAGGGCAGTGTCTTAAGATGGTTAGTGTTAAAAGCCTAGATTGCCAAAAGAACGTGCAAATACGTCTTGAAGAAAGTGCAACCAGGTTGCGCCTTAGAGATCGATGGTGACACTACATCTCACATGCCTTGGGCATGTTTTTAGGAGGGACTAGTCCTTGGAAAAAGAAATCATCCTGAGAAAAACGGAAAGTCAGAGAAAGAGGGGAAAGGCGTCAGTGAAGTATTTGACACAGTGACAGCAACAGTAGGCTGGAGGATATCCTAGATGATAAGGATGGCACAGGACCCGGCACGGTTCAGACCCACTCTTCAGAGGGTCACTGTGAGTAGGAGGTGACTCAATAGCACCTGCCAACAACAATAGATTACTCTGAGAAAACTGTTGATGGAGTTATGGACATCACACTCTATTTTTCGTGGACTTTGAAGGGAGTAAAGAGAGCTAGAACACCAAAGATAGTAAAGATGGTGAGAGGCAGCCACAGAGAAATGACAGTGGCAAAACCAGGCAAAGATGGTATGGGAACCTACCCATAAAGACCAAACTCTCCGTGGCTTTGGGTTAGAAGTCTCCTGAGAAGCTGAAGCTCCTCTGGACACTTTGGAGCCAGGTTTATTGACCTATAGTTTAAGAGAGCTGAACATAGGGTCCCCTTGAGCACTTACCGGAAGAGCTAAAGTGATTTTTAAACTTTCCTAAGCAAGGCAGAACCCTAGCCAGCCCAAGAAACCTGACTCACCAATGGGTCAAGATGCCAGTGAACTAGAAAGCAAGGGACATGGAAAACAAAGCTTCCTCAATTTCAAAGACTATGATCCATGGGGTCTCAAAGGGTGGGGTCATAGCCTCCTAGGCTTTAAAGAGTCAGATTGTCACTAACTCAGGTCCGGAGTATGGTGTTACTATTTACAAGAGCCAGAGTTATGAGGCTGGTCCACTGTCCAAAGCTGAGGGGGTACATCTGCAGTGTCCAAGGGGGCAGAAGAACAAGGCTTGGTGGAGTCAAGGAGATAGGAATGCCCTTCAGTTGTGCTAGAAGAATGAGGCCTCTCAACTGAGGGGTGCAGGGTTACCATCACAGTGGGCCTGGAAAGTGAAGCTCAAGTCCAGGGCCATAAATAGCCTGCCTAGAACACTTCACAAAGATCCTCCACCAGAGAGCACAGTCAACACCCAGCACTGAGAGGGCAGGATCACTACCTAAATGGTCTCAGAAAACAGAATTCTTTTCAAGTCCTGAGCATTCATGTCGATTGTTCTGGGTTTTTAACTTGTGTAGTGCCCACCACCCCTTATTTCTCTCCAAGTCCCCCCATTTGTAATTAAAATGTCTGCTTTGAACCTATTCACCATTGTAATTTGGAAGCAGATAACTTATATTCCAGATCATTAAATTTGTATTTAAGGGGTTTTTTTAGATTGTATCAAGGAGTATTTTTCATTTTGATTGTATCAAAATGTTTTTCATATGACAATGACATACATTTTTGAATGCCAAAAGAGGAAATGATTTAACTATGTCCCTCAAGAAATATGTGTATACTCTTGGCTGGATCATAATTCTCAGTGGCTTAACACAGGTTAGGGCAGGGTTCAGATCTGTAGTTAATAGGGTCACTGTGAGTCATAGTTGACCCAAAAGCATCTCACAACAAATAACAGTGAAGCAGTGATAAAGTGATATAATCCCTACAATGTGGTCCAATGTGATCAGCCAATCAGTTGTAGGGGGATGAATGTGAGATGCAGCACACTTTCATAGCTCTGATCTGTCAGGGGAATTTCCTTTTCCTACGTGTGGCCTGCATCATCTTTTAGCTTACAAAGTTAAAAGGAAAGAAAAGTGAATACACAGAGAAGAACCTCAGTGGTATCAAGAAAGAAGAACCTGGAGTAGAGTGCATTCTTTGAGGACCACCTAGGAGGCCAGGGGAAGATTAATGCTGAGATAAATGTCATTCTCTAAGTGACACTTGGATCCACAGATGTTAAAGAGGAGAAAAGGACCTTCCCTCAAATCCAATCTAGAAAAAAAGCCTAACCCTAGAACTGGCACCTTAAAATTCGACCTTTAGCCTCTTCAAATGTGAGTTAATTAATTTCAATTTGTTAAAGCGATTTACGTGTGGTATTTGTTATGGAACACTAGATAACTAAGATTGGCATAGTGTTTACCATGGTAGGCTCAAACACAGCATGGTTTATAAGGATGACACAGAGTCCAAGAGCTTCATTCTGTCATGCACATGTTAGATCTTAGGTAACAAAGAGTCAGCAACGACTCACAATAACCATAAACAGAATGAAACCCTGACATTGCTGCCGTGCTGGCAGGCAGTGTGTCAGCCCACTTCTCTTTAAATCATCCTCTACTTTTTCAAGCATGATATCCTTCTCCAGGAACTTGTCCTTCCTGATAAGATACCTGAAACATGTACTAAGAAGTCTTACCAGCCTTGCTTCTAAGTAGCACTCTGACTTCACTTTAACTGAGACAGATTTGTCTATTCTCTTGACAGTCCATGGAATATTCAATATACTTCTCCAACACCACAATTCAAAGGCATTCATTCTTCCTCCACCGTCCCTATTCATTTTCCAAGTTGTACATACACATGAAGCCATTTCAATTCCCCTGGTGTGGGTCAAGACTACTGCACAGGGGATCGCTGTGAGTTAGAACTGGTTCCTGTGTAAACAGCATCTAAAAACAAAAAGAATAATATGCTGCCCTATGAAATAAATGCAGTTCATTTTCCCATCTCCTTGAGAAAGGAACAGAGAGACAGCACAGTGAGAAAGTTACCTAAGGACATGTAATTGGTAAGTTACTGAGCTGGGATCTGAACTCAGATCAGTCTCCACAGTGGAAAACACACCACCGTGGTTTACCCACTGCTGTGGTTCCCTTGAGGCTGAACAGAAACTTGTTTCTTGGTCCCCTCTTTCCATCAAATTGTCTTGTCCCTTGCCCATTCTGAGAATTAGTTAAACGCTGGAGAGGTGGAAAATGAAGAGAGATTTGGTTTTGTGGTGTTTTATTGTTTTGGTTTTTTTTTAATCTGACCCAAGCCTTACAAAAAAATGCAGAGCTGATGTGGATAAGGGCAGGTTTCTGGGACCAGAAAGCTTTATTTCTCCCTGTCGTGGGAGCTAGAGCTGGCACTGACAAAATGGTGATGAATTACTGACCTGCGGACCACTGACAAATAACCAGAACGTGTCAATTTGTGTCCTCATACTCTGAAGAGAGAAAATGAATTGCACATGAAAAGAATCATCGTCACACAACCCGGTAGTTAAATAATTAGCCGCACACAGCACCTTCTGCTTTCAAGGCCCTTCTGTACATACTGTGTGTTAATATTATTATTATTGAAGAACTGTAACCAGGACATATTTGAATGGCGATTTAAATCATGTGCTATGTGGTTGAGCAGGATTGTAAAGGGGTTAAGTGCCAGGAGCTTATTAATTTTGAAATGGTTAATTTGTGTTACGTGAGTCGCAGCCTAGCTAAAAATGCGTTTAAATGGCCAAGAAAAGCAAGATAGTTCTGAAAGGATTTGCAATGCAATAGAGATTTCAATGGATTTAATTCTAACAATTTCAATTCTTCTCTCAATTTTGTGGTCTCCTCAGTGTTAGAACTAACAGCTAAAATTTAAAAAATTGTTAGCATGTGACCAAAGCCCCAAACAACAAGAAAAGTGTGCTTACCTAATAGGGTTTTATACATAGAGTGAGTCCATTGCACAGACTTGGCTGTTGAAGAATTTGGGGCTATGCTGTCTAACCTACGTGTCAATGACTCCTTAAAGTCCAGGAAAATGTAAAGAATCCTGCCCCAAAATCTACTTCATTTTGTCGAATGGTTTTAGAGTCCCAGACCCATTTAAAATATTTTTTTAAACGTGTGGAGACACCCCTCCCCAAAGGAGGAAAAAATCAGCTCATAGTTTTAGAAGATTTATTTATATTCCACACATAGTGGGAATTTAGAACCTCAGATCAAGAGCTTCTACTCTCAGATTCATCTGTTGTTAATGTAAGGTGCCCTCGAGTTAGCTCCAATTCACAGCAACCTTATGTGTAACAGCACTCAGCGTTCTTTGAACCTCTTATTGAGATTAACCCCAAGGTTCAAAAAATATGCTAAGAGGTAATCAGGAGAACGAACAGAATTCATAACTGAAGATTCAAAGGGCATTTTAAGGTGATAAAACATTATCATAATTAAGCACATGATACAAAATTGAGCAGATTTCAGTAAATTTCTTAACATGGATTTTCTTTCTAGTTTCCCCCACAATATCAGTGACCCACGCTCACTCTATCAAATCATAGAAAGGCAGAAAGAATGAGAAGAAAGTCCCTCATCCCCCGGTTCAGCAAGAGAAACTTTCCTGAACATATGGACTGTTCTTGCTTCGTATCTTTTCACCACACATCCATTTTTAAAAACAAACACGCAGACATCTACATTCTGGAATTTTGCCATTTTTCACTCTTAATAACAATCTGTACTAGCAATTTTCAGAGAGACAATGCCTACAGCTCCTTTCCCGGTGACCTTTGGAGATGACAGAATCCTTTACAATACGTGGTTTGCAATGTCAACCTGGCTATGCAGATTGGGCTCAAAGTGACAGTTTCGCCCCAGGTTTCCCGAAACCTCTTCTGCAGGATTGGACTAGATTTCATCCCCTTGGTGACTAATTAATGAGCATCTTCTGTGTAAGCAGGAGTCAGGTCATAAATAAAGCTCAATAAACGTATCTGAAAATTGGCCATGAGATCGATTTGCAAAGGCATTGCTTTAACTGCCTTTATATCTATCCATTTTGGACCACCGCTGAGAAGAATTTTTTTTTTTTAATAATATCCATACACGGTGTTTCTTTACCTTCTGAGAGTTTTCCTTTGATACCAAACCTGCGCAGATCAGATAGGCTAAGCTGGTGTGCAAACAAACGTTGCATTTCAGAGGCGGCATAACCGACTTGTTTGTTCCTTTCCCAGGCACCTCTGTGAGCGTGTCCACCTTTAACCTGGTGGCCATATCACTGGAGAGATACGGTGCGATTTGCAAACCCTTGCAGTCCCGGGTCTGGCAGACCAAGTCCCATGCCTTGAAGGTGATTGCTGCTACCTGGTGCCTGTCCTTTACCATCATGACTCCGTACCCGATTTATAGCAACCTGGTCCCTTTTACCAAAAACAACAACCAGACGGCCAATATGTGCCGCTTTCTGCTACCCAGTGATGTTATGCAGCAGTCCTGGTAAGCCTGCAGTGTGGATTGTTGGGGGTAGTGTTCTGTTTAAGGTGGGGTGTGGGAGAGGCGTGTAAGAGAGAGAGAGATGCACTAGTAGCCTAGTTCAGAGTCAAGCTCTTAACCCAACGCTGAGCTTCTCTGGCAATTCAAATCCAACAGCTCCTCCTAGGGAGAAAGATCAACCATTTCCTCCACACAACTGACAGTTTTGGAAGCCCACCAGATAGATGGTCAGACACAAGTTGGAATTGAGTTTCTGGCACTGAGGGAGTATAAGTACACTCACTGCCTTCAAGTTAGTTTTGACTCAGCAATCCTTCATTGGTTTTCTGAGGCTGAAAATACTTATGGGAGAAGACTGCCCATCTTTCTCCCAAAGAGTGGCTGATGGATTTCAACTGCTAACCCTGAGGTGAGCAACCAAGTGTTTGAACCAGAGTGCCTTTCACGTATGTTGTCGTCAAGTGCCATCCTGTGGGGACGGACTCATAGCCGACCCTCCGGCGGGTTTTCAGAGGCTGTAGATGGCACAGGAAGGGCCTGCCTTTCTTCCTCCCATGGAGCTGCTGGTGGATTTGAGCTGCGTGCAGGCCTTTGAGTTGGCAATGCAGCTGCTGACCGCTAGGCCACCAGCGCGCCCTCCCGTATGTACAGTTGGATATCAGTCTGCAGCATTGGCAGTCAACGCCAGCAGCAGCTTCTCGGAATAAAGATGTGGCAATCTGTTTCAGGAAAGAGTAACAATCCTGGAATCCCTGTGGTGTCAGTACTATCTCGTCCGGTAGGGTCACTGTGAATTGGAATCCACACAACAGGGGCGGGCCTGCAGCATGAGAAAAATCTGAACTATGTTCCCCAGGGTGGTTTGAAGTTTCTAGGAGACTTGTTGAGGAGGAAGCAATGTAGCCTCTTTCTAGAATGACGGTGATAACAAACATTCAAAGAGCTCTGTTCTAAAAGCACTATTTGCATTCACTCCTTCCACACTCGCCCAACGCTATAGGCTAAGAACTGTCTGCTATTGCATTTTCTCTGCCGCCATTGTGTCCAGGTAGAACTGTGCTCCATAGGGTCTCCGATGCTTGATATTTTTTTCCAAAGTGCCCCTAGGTGGACTTGAACCTCCAACCTTTCAGATGACAACTGAACTTATTCATTGATTGCACCACCCACATACCATTAGCTGCAGGGTACAGATGAGGAAAATGAGACATGAAGAATTTAAATAAGTTGTCCAAGCTCATACATCTCATTACCCATTGTGTTGTGTGCTCCTACTTGGTGCAATGGGGCATATCTAGACTTGTTATATTAGACAGAGTTTTCCTGGAGAATTGACAAGAGAGCAGAGATGAACCCCAAACACTCTGATTTTTACTTAGAGCTGCAGCTATGATATTTGCTTAGAAAACTTTGTTGTTGTTGTTGTTGTTGTTGTTGTTATGTGCCGTCGAGTCACGACACATAGTGACCCTATGTACAAAACAGCCCTAAACTCTACTCTGTCCTGTGCCAATTGGTACTGTTTCTGACACACCCACCCTGATTACCCCAGTCACTGAATCAATCCACCTCATACAGGGCCTTCCCCTCCTACGCTGTCCCTCCACCCTCCCAAGCATGATGTCCTTCTCCAAGGACCGGTGTCTCCTTACAACATGTCCAAATTATGTCAGACAGAGCCTCAGAATCCTTGCCTCCAAGGAGCCACCCAGTTTAACCCTTTCCAGGATGAATCTGTTTGTTTTCCTAGCAGTCCATGCTATCCTCAATACTCTTCTCCAGCACCACAGCTCAAAGGCATCAATTCTCCTTCTATCCTCTTTAGTCATTGTCCAACTCTTTGATGCATAACAATATTACCACTAAACTTAAGAGACACTGGTCACAGCATAAGAAACTATCAGCAGCTGATGTGTTTGGAGTCACAGAAGCCAAGGAAGCTTCAGATATAAGCTAAACTAGAAAACTTTAGCAGCTATAAAACGGTACATCTGATAACCATGATTTTGCTCACTAGCTAGCTGGAGGGCTTTGCACAAGCTCACAACCTCTCTGAGCATCAGGGTCTTTTTCTAGAAAAGAAATTAATGATGTGGCATTTTTTTTATGTGGCATTTTAACGTACCGCATTGGGTGGCTCTACATTTCAAAGGAGAACAAGTATATGAAAATGTCATGAAGTATCTAAAAATGGCTACACCAGTGCAGTGGATCATGTTTATTAATTCCAAGGATTATTATTTTTTTTTTAGAAGAGGAGAGTTAGACTTAGAAATGGCCCCAGACTCTGATAATCTCTGCTTTCTATGCTCCTTACATTTCAACCAAGAAACACACACACACACACACACAATGAATGAGACTGCATACGAGAGAGACATTTCCCCAGCTTGAAAAGCAATCTTATCAAAACATGTCCAATTGAAATGAGAAATGGCCCAGCCACCGTACGCCTCTGACAATTTTATGGCCTCATCGTGCACCCTTACACATGCCAGATGTGATTTAGGGGCCAGACACGGGAAGGAGGAGCCTGCAATTCTTCAGGACTCCGCATGTTTAGAGAGAGCATAGCTCAGTCCTCCGAGTACAATAGAATGCGTGTGCCACTGAGCCAGCTTCCCAGGGTCACGGGGAATGGAAGCTGGGAGGACTTTTACACTGTTCATGTGTCAGAAACAGTAATAATGCAATATTTTATAAAACCAAAGAAGTTTTCCATCACTTCTACCTGAGCATTTGATTACTCTGAAGCTGACAGATGGTACGTTCTAGAATCAAACCACTTGGGCTGGACTTCTATCTCGGCTGCCTGCTAGCTGTGTGACTTTGTATCAGTTATTGAAACTCTTTGCCTCTCGGTTCTCCTCATCTTTAAAGCAGGTGGTGTGATAATAGTGCCTACTGAAGCTATTTATGAGAATTAAACGAAGTACTATAGAGAAAATGTTTACGCAGCTGTATGGTCATGTAGTCCTCAGTGAATGTAAGCTCTTGTTACTATTAAGATGTAGACTTGTTTCGGGCACAGAACTATAACCACCAATTTTTTACCAATTAGTTCATTGTTGTTAGTGGAAGGATGGAAGAATAGCACAGGAGAGAAAGATCCTGGGTGAAATGGAGTGACACAGAAACTGGGGTAATGAGGATAGGTGTGTCATAAACAGTGAGACTGGCCCAGGATAGCACAGGATTCAGAGTGACTGTACATAGGGTCGCTATGAGTTATAATCTAATCAACAGCACTTAACAACAACAACAACAACATTGTACTGTTTCAGACTCAATAACCATGTACATAAAACCTTATCTGAGAAAAAGAAACAAACCCTAGATACTGACCCACCAGACTTGGAATTTTCAAAATAACTAAATAAGTAGTAAACAGTGTGTTTTCTGAGATCAGGTAATGATGAATCCTGCTCCAGTGGCGTAGCCTTTAAGGATTATTTACAAAACCTCTCGAACAGGAATCCACCAATGTCTCCAACAGCCAATCTCTTCTGCACTTTACTGCCTCAGAAACCCAACAGAGCGTCAGCTATGAGTCGGTTCCCACTATACACCAATGACTTTCCCTTTTTTCCCCCACATAAAGTTACAATGATGCCATTACTGAATTTCTCTACGTTTTTTTAGGCACACATTCCTGTTACTCATCCTTTTTCTCATTCCTGGAATTGTAATGATGGTGGCATATGGATTAATCTCTTTGGAACTCTACCAAGGGATAAAATTTGATGCTAGCCAGAAGAAATCTGCTAAAGGTAATTATCTTCCAAGCATACACTTGTGCCAAAAGATCACAAAATGGTTTTCTAGAACTTAAATACATATACCCACATAGTGTATATAGATAGAGTACACTGGAGATTTTTTTAAAAAAAAACAAAATACTCTTTTGAGACTGTGTTGTTGCCTAAGGTACAGTCGTGAGACCCAATGTCTCTATTTCCTCATCTGCAAAATGGGAAAATAATTGCTCTCAAAGGAGTGTTAAGTGGAATAAAACGAGATAATACACATAAAACTCAATTCTAAGCGGAGGGCACATGTGTCCCAAGCTTTCTGTAATGTTGCTTTCAAATCCACACGCTTCAACAATCAAAGCTAATTGAGATTCTGGGTTTTACTTGTGTCTCTCCAAAGACATAAAATTAAAAGGGAGATTTTATTTATATCCCAGTTTATTTATAATTCAGCTTGAAATTGTATTTCCTTTTCCCCATCCTGTCTGCCATGCTCTCTCATCCTCTGGTTGTTAGAAAGCCCCGCTCCTTCCCCATTTGTGGTCATGCACTGTTCACTAACACTCTTCCTCTTGCATTCTATGCCACTGTTCAGTTCCCTTGTGGTTGTTAGGTGCCATCAAGTCGGCTTCTACTCACAGTGATCTTTTATAAAACAAAAAGATGCCCTGCCTGATCCCGCACCTTCCTCACGGCTTCTGCTGTACCAACGCCCACTGTGGCAGACAACATGTCAGTCCCCCTGGTTGAAGGTCTTTTTTACCTCCAGTGACCCTCTTCTTTACCAAGCAGGATATCTTTCTTCAGAGACTGGCCCCTCCTGCTAACATGCCCAGAGTATGCCAGTGGAGATCGTACCATCTTTGTTTCTAAGATGCATTCAGGCTGCTCTTTTTTTTTTTTTTTTATTCTTTCAGCCATCCATTCCACCACATTCCTTCTTCTCCAACAATTCAAAGGCTCCCATTCTTCTTAAGTCTTCCTTTTCATTGTCTGACTTTCACATGCGTGTGAAGTAGTTGAAAACCCTGTGGTTTGGATCAGCTAAAACTCTTTCTGCTGTAGCTGCTCTTTTATTGTTGTCATTGTTGCAATTATCCAAGTTCTCCACCACAAAGGTCGTCTAAAGGCTTATCTTTTGGAGAGAGGAAGACCCTCCACCAGATGGGTTGACACAGTGATTGCTGCAATGGGTCAAGCTTGTCAGAAATGAGGGGGAGGGCTCAGGAGGGGAGAGAGTTTCAGTCTGTTGTCCATAGGATCATTTATGAGCCATACATGACTTAATGGCAGCTAACAACAACATGAAGCTTTCCAGGAAGCTCCAGTATCCCAGTCCATAGGGTGTTGTGCTACTAACCAATAGATTGCCTCTCTGATGGTTCGAATGTGCCAACTGCTCTATGGAAGAAAAAAGGTAGCAATCTTCTCTCAACACGATTTACAGTCTTGGGATCCTGAAGAGGGTATCTGTGAGTCAGAACCAACTCCTACAACAGTGAGTGAGTGAGGGCCTTAGAAAGAAAGAAGTGAATTTTCAACTTGTGAGAGGTGGAAAAGAAGCAGAGGAAGAAACAAAGGTCATACATATCCATTCTTTAGTGCCTTATGATCCTTGAAAGATACATAGATGGATATTTTCTTTTCATTGTTAATAGCTCTCTGCTTTTTTGTGATGGTGCTGCTCTGGTGGCCTAGTGGTAAGAAGCTGCACTGCAATCCTGAGGTCATGCAGTTGGAGGCTACCAGCTGCTTCATGGGAGCAATCTCCTCCCATGCAATTAACTGTCTCTGAGAACCCACTGGAGGGTCAGCTATGGTTCAGCTCTGACTTGAAGGTACATAACAACAACAATAACATGGTGAAGCATAAAAAGCAAATGTATTAGTATAACAATATGAAATGTCTTGAGCCACCATGAAATGCTACGTCAGTACAATAGCCTTCAGTAGCTGGCCATCAGCTATACACAGCCATCAAACAGTTGGCTTGTAGCTGTGGCTTAATGGTAAGGAGTTGTGTTGTCAACTCAAAAGCACACGGTTTGAATCCACCAGCTGCTACATGGGAGAAAGACAGACAATCTCCTCCAAAAACTCGCTGGAGGATCGCCTATGAGTCAATGCCTACTTGATGGTACATAACAATAACACAGCTGTCTTGGGGTCCTATAGAGAAACAGAACGTATGAAATGGAGAGATGTTGATTGATCTGTTTCAAAGGGTTGGTTCAAAATTGTGGGGCAGGCAAGCCCCGAATCTCTATGTCAGGAGACGGGCTGGAGGATCAGGCAACAGGAAGAATGTGGTCACAAGAGGAGCGGCTTCTCTGCATTTGGAGGAGCTGACCAGCAGAGATGAATACTATCTCAGATCACCGAAGGTCCAGTCTGGTCTCCTTGATGGATAGGGTGGGGACCCCATGCCTTTCCTCTGAAGTGACCCAGCCCCCAGTAAGTGATGTCACTTGTCCCCCCAGAACGAAAGCTCAGCAGCAGCTGCAGATTCGAGGACAGCGATGGGTGCTACCTGCAGAAGCCCAGACACCCCAGAAGGCTGGAGCTCCAGCAGCTGTCCGCCCGCAGCAGCGGCAGGATCGGCCGCATCCGGAGCAGCAGCTCGGCCGCCAACCTGATGGCCAAGAAGCGAGTGATCCGCATGCTCATCGTCATCGTGGTCCTCTTCTTCCTGTGCTGGATGCCCATCTTCAGCGCCAACGCCTGGCGGGCCTACGACACGGCTTCGGCCGAGCGCCGCCTCTCGGGGACCCCCATTTCCTTCATCCTCCTGCTCTCCTACACCTCCTCCTGCGTGAACCCCATCATCTACTGCTTCATGAACAAGCGCTTCCGTCTGGGCTTCATGGCCACCTTCCCCTGCTGCCCCAGCCCCAGCCCTGCGGGAGCCAGAGGGGAGGGGGGCGAGGAGGAGGAAGGCCGGACCACGGGGGCCTCTCTGACCAGGTACTCCTACAGCCACATGAGTACCTCTGCCCCGCCCCCATGAGCTCCAGGGGGGCCTCCACTGCGCAGGAGATGGGGGCCCAGGGGAGGAAGAAGTGGAAGGTAGGAGAAAAAAGCAGGAGGGCGTGGGACAGAGGGAAGAAGCAAAGGAGAAGAAGGAAGGTTCCATTCCCAGTGGGAGCCATTCATGTGCTTTTCATCCATCCTGTGGGTACCAGGAGTCTAGAGACCTTCTGTGGCAGGCCCAGGCCTTGGTTTCCAGGCAGTTCGAGGAAGTCAACTTTGAATAGCATTCACCAAGCAAAAGAACCCAAGCAAGTCAGTAGCAAGTGCCCAGCAGGGCTTATGCTGTAACAATTAACTGCCAAACTCATGTTCAAAATAGAGAAGGGAACCGCACTGAGTTCTCAGAGGGTTCCAGCACATAACATGAGTGCTCCTTCACCACAGAGGTGCCCGTCTATGTCCTGCTTCTTCTGTGTGCGTAGCAGTGAGAAGGCCGCTCTGCCTCTGGACAAAGTCCATCATGTTTTCATGTCCATAATGTAGCCTCTCATCTCACTATGGCCGCAGACAGGGAACCGGAAGTGAACCCACTTCCAGCCATCTTCCACACTAAGATAGCAGGAGGGCAGCTTGCCTTTTCTTGTTGAGGTCAGTCAGGGACACTCAGAGACAAAGTTTAGAATAGCAAAGAGAACATTGTCTGAAAGATGGAGATTGGAACTTCTATTTCCAAAAAGAGAAAGAGATAAAAAGCTGAACAGGTTGCTGTCTTAATGTGAGGAGTGTCGAGCACCAAGAGGGTAGTAGAAATATTTGTTTTAACTACATACACTGCTTAACTCTTCCTTTATACAGTGATATTCAATCTCATGGCTTCTGTGCCTTGATGTAAGTTCTTGTATTCACACAGCATATCCGCCTTTTCCAGGTAAGTTTTCAGACATATCAGAGAGCTGGAAGTTACATGCACCCAAACAAGGGTGAAAACATGCACAGTCAGGCCCAGAGTCAAAGCAACAAAGTCAGACCCCTTCAACAAACAGTGTTTGAATGCCAAAGTTGTCTTTGCATTTATAGAAAATCTATGTATTTACTGTTAATTGTATACGTGCCAACAGTTATCTATATTCTTCATGTACAGAGATACTCCTTGATGTGTTTATAAAATGGTTAATAGATACTGGAATCCAGCGAGTTCTAACCTTTCTCCTCCCTCCCCCCTCACGATGATTGGTGTTGCAGAATTTGTGCTCGAGTCTCCCTAGTTTAGACATTTCCATCCTAAATAGGATATGAGCTCTATATCGCACTGCCAGGGAGTGTATTTCTCGCCAAGTGTGTCAGTCTGGTGTACCATCACAGCATTCTTTTGTTTAGAAAAACTTTATCTTATTTGAGTAAATAAATTAGGATGGGCATTTGGCATGGAAACTGGTTTGCCTGCTAGTGCAGGAAAGAAGGGGAAAACGAGAGAAAAAAGGAAGGTGGGAGAAAGGAAGAAAGCAAAGGTGGGAAAAAGGAAGGAGGGACAGGACAGCTTTCATGGCCCTGTCATCTAAGAAATAGAATTATTTCCTTTCTAAAGGAACTGTGGTCATGCTCATCCTTTAAGTCCATGCCAGACCCTCTACCCAGCACCCAAAGGCCAAGGATTCCAATTATTGAAAAATGAAATTATATATGGAAAGTGGAAAAGGGCAGGGAAAGTTAATCATGAATAGAGGAAGGGATATCTTATTCTAATGTCTCTCTGGAGACTAAGGTGAGCCTGATACAGGCCATGGTCTTTGCAATCACTTGTTATGCATCAGAGAGTTGGACAATGACTAGGGAGGACAGAAGGAGAGTGGATGCTTTTGAGCTGTGGTGCTGGAGAAGGGTACTGAATGTACCATGGACTGCCAAGAAAACAAACAGAATTCATTCTAGAGAGGGTTAAACCAGGCTACTCCTTGGAGGCAAGGATTCTGGGGCTTCGTCTGACATACTTTGGACATGTTGTAAGGAGAGACAGGTCCTTGGAGAGGGGACATCATGCTCGGTAGGGTAGAGGGACAGCGCAGGAGGGGAAGACCCTCTATGAGGTGGACTGATTCAGTGACTGGGGTACTCGGGATGGGTGTGTCAGAGGCAATGCAGTTGGCACAGGATAGAGCAGGGTTTAGGGCTGTTGTGCATAGGGTCGCTATGAGTCGGAAACGACTCGATGGCACATAACAACAACAACAATAAGACATGAGCGTCATCATTATGGTTTTGGGTTTGTGTGGAGGAAATAGTTGTGAGCTCACTAATAAGAAATTATTGACAGTAGGACTATTTATTGTAAGGTCCTTTCAAGCTAGAAGCTAAAACGTATCTACAACTAGCCATCTCAAAAATATCAAGGTAGGAATTCAACCAGTAACAAACATTGCTAAAACAGAACAGTTAAAAATATTAGAAATTAAAATGTCAAGAAAAGAAATGAAACTGTCTCTAGTTTTCTAGTACAGCCTATAAGATCTATAATTTTTTTCACTAGCATAATAATTTTCTGAAGTGTATAGAGAAAGCTCTGGTAGCTTAGTGGTAAGGAATTGTGTTGCCAAACCAAACATACAGTCTTCGAATCCACCAGTTGCCCCGTGAGAGAAAGAGGGACAATTTCCTCTTGTACTATTTACTACCTCTGAAAACCCACTGGAAAGTCAGCTATGGTTTGGTTCCAACTTGACAATGCACAACAATAACAACACAGTGTATATATAGGAAGACAAAATAAGCTCTATTTCTGAGACCCACTGTCCCACACGGTGGCTATGAGTTAGAATCAACTCAGTAATAATTGGTTTGGTTTTCTGTTTTGTTCTGTGTTAACCTTAAAGTAGGTTGTCATACTTGGCCAACAAAAATGCAGGCTATCTAGGTAAATTTTCATTTCATATATATATATATATGATAAATATGTCCCAGGAACAAAGAATACATGAGACATATATATATGGAGGACTATTTGTTGTTAATCTAAAATTCATATTTAATTTGAAGTCCTGCGGGTTTTGTTTTGGTTTGCTTTTCTTTGGGGAGGAGGCACATCTAACTAAAAGTCAGTTTAAATATGGATAAAATTATAAACAACAGTTCTCAGACACAGAAGAGCAAAATATCAGCTTCATTAAATTTGTTCTAATTTTTTTTCCACAAAATGGATGGGTTTTTTTAAGAAGAAAAAAAAAGCTATTAATTTACATGATCTGTGGCCAACCATTGAGAATGGTACTATCAACATGTTGATTTTACTCTGAAAAATTTTAATTAATTAACATTAAGCTGTGCTAAATACTCTGTTGAACCAGCTGTCTTTCTTTCTATGCTCAAGAGGTTTACTAATTTGAATTTTAAAACAAAGTAGCCTGTAGAGTCAAGGATAGAAAACACATTCATCAAGTTCCTTGTGTGTTTATAGTGTCATCTCCTAGCTTCCACTCATTCCTGCAGGTGGAATTTGAACCCTGGAAGGGAGACTGTGTCTTTGACTTTCAAGGAAACCGTGTGTCTCAGTGGTTTCTGTGCCTTCATTACCATCGTCATCTCTCATAATAATTCATTATCAGTGAATATGCAGTGTCTATGTTACATAGTTTGGCCCCACATGTTTGTATATACTTAACAACTGTCCCCTCCACCTAATTATATTGTACTCTTCAGGCAGCAAGTGGCAATCACTGCTGAGCTTCTATTCTATTTTCTCCAGTATTCTGTCCAACATTCTACAGACTGTGAGTCTGCAGACTGTGAGTGCTTAATAAATGTTGTGCTGACTTGGGTTGTGTCTTCTCTGCTTTTTTGGAGAGACTTTCATCCTGTCCACAGCAATGATTCTCAGTGTCATTATTGTTGTTGTTGTTAGGTGCCATCAAGTCCTCTATGACTCATAGAGATCCTGTGAACAATGGGTTAGAGCCCTCCCCTATCCCCTGCCATCCTCATCATTTCTGCTATACTTGAACCCAGCGGTACAATCACTATGTAAATCCACCTTGCTGAGGGTCTTTCTCTCCTTCACTGACCCTCCACCTGACGTCCTTTCCCAAGGACTGGCCCATCCTAACTGAATGTCCAAAGTATAGCAGATGAAGTTTCACTCTCCTGGCTTCTAAGGAGCACCTGGTTGCACCTTCCCCAAGATGTATTTGGTTTTCTCTTTTGACAGTCCTTGGGAAGGGGCAATTGTCAGGATTTCCAGGGAACATCATCCAGCTTGGACTCCAAGTGCGATACAATTTGTTCAGCTGCAAGCCTGCTGATTGGTGGTTCAACTGCACCCAGGGATGCCACAGAAGAAAAACGTGGTCATCCACTTCTAATATGGGGCACAGTTCTGTGCTGACACACATACACGTATCAGGTCCCCAGGAGGCCGAATAGACTTGATTGCAGTTGTGGGTTTTGTTTTCTAACTCTTTGTTTATCCCTTCCTCAATATTATGCTGTATGAGGCCTTCTGTCACTACTTTCTCTCTTTTCTGCCTCTGGATGCACAATATTAATGTAATCAGAAATATTATGGATGGAAGGTGTCGTGACTATACACGTTATTAAAACACAGAGAAAAAGGGGTTGAGACCGACTTGCCTACAGTGTCCCTAAGCTTAGCTCTTCCCTGTCTTCATGCTGTCTAAGGAACAAATAAAAACCAAATCCACTGCCCTTGAGTCTATCTCAGCCCATTGAGAGACTATAATGGTTAGAAGAGATTTATCCCATAGGGTTCCCAAGGCAGTGAACCTTTATGGAAACAGGGAGCATCTGATGGGTTTGAACCACCAACCTTTTGATCAGCAGCCAGTGTTATTATCCACTATACCACAAGAGCTCTTTTTAAAGAAAAAATTTGAAAGGGGGGGTGGGGAAGAGGAAAAAGGGCATGTGTCTCACCATGGCCATGCCGCCTGCATGTGTCTCCTTGTGTCTGTCTTCTTGCATCTAGTCAATTAAGTAAGTACCTGACTTGAAAATTTCTTGATGTGTCTGGGACTGGGCTCTTGCCTGGAGC